CGAATCAGCTCGAAATCAAGTCCAAAAGCAAAAGAAAAATGACGTTTGATTGGAAGCATTCGGCAACCACCAGTGCCAGCCTGCGCGCGCACGTGGTCGTCTGGCTGGCTCTCCGCTGTGGCACTCGTGTTTGGCAGAGTATCGATTTTTGGCCAGTGTTCACTTGGATGCTGTTCAGGCCACGAGTGGAATATGGTTCTGAGTGTTTAACCCATTCATTGTACCGTTTCAAGTTGTGTTAAGTGAAATCCGACAGAAGCTCCACAAACATGACGAAGGACAGACTTGCAGCGCTCAAGGCGGTAAGTGAATGTCAAAAAGAGATAGAGACATGAGAGTCGTCTGCTTCTCTTTGGACTCCCCCCACTCAATATGGCACCACTATCAGACACTCGCACACGCCCCCCTTCACGCACCCCACTCAATATGGCACCACTATCAACCACTCGCACACGCCCCCTTCTATGCAATTTACTCCATGGTGCTCCCTTTTCCTTAGGCACTCGCACACGCCCCCCATAGGTATCCTGCAACACCGCCCCTCTGCAGGCACCATCACTAGCCCTAAGTACTCTGTAGCAGGGTTTTTGTGAAGGTTTTAGGGGCGAAGGTTTGCTCTGAGGATGGGCATGCCTGTGTGCAGTGTCAGGGGCTGTTTGGGAGTGTCTGTGTGGTATAAAAGCAGTTGTTTAGAATCAATACATCTTTTTCAGAATGATGAAACAAGAATGCAGTGAAATATAAGCATACATGAATGCACATTCTTTTGTATGTAAGATAATATCGTTGCTAAGCATAAATGTGAGAATTATAGCTGAAGCTAGGCAAAGTTAGATGATATAAGGTTAACAATGGGTTTCAATAACTGTTTAGAAGAGGGTTGTATGTCTCCCACTGGCTTTTCACCATCGAGCAAAATCTTGGTTGTTGCGTTAGACAAAGACAAGAAAGCCAGTATTATGTATATGGCAAGGAATAGCTATAGGCCTCCCTGGTGAACTAATCTTTATAAAAAAAAAAAAAAAAATCTGAGCTCTATCTTGCCAAACTCTATATGCTAGAGGTTTGTTGGCCTTTGCCGGAGCGCAGAGGCCGGCGTGATTGCTTGACACGACCATTATCCAGTTTGCTTTCTAAAGGTAGTTTCCTAAACAAATCAACATTTTTACTGCCATTGTATAGAACTTGACAGGATCTGTAATGTTTAATTGATAGGTCAAACCTGACATGGTTGGGTTAGGTTAGATTATTATTTCTGATTGCTTTATGTTCAGTTTGATTGGTTAGGTTCGAGTTGCATAGCATAAGATAGGGTAGGATAGGATAGGATAAGTTAGGTTAGGGTTGGATAGGGAGGGGAAGGGAACAGAATGGAAGGGAAAGGAGGGAAATATAGGGTAGAGTAGAGTAGGGCAGGGTAGAGGAGGGAGGGGAAGGGAAAGGAAGGAAGGGAAGGGAAAGGTATGGCAGAGTAGGGCAGGGAAGGGTAGGATGATTTTAGGTTTAGTTAGATTAGGTTAGGCCACGATATTACTGTGTATCGGTGGGGTTATATTAAATAAGCTTAATCTCAACTACAGGATTGTTGAGAGAAAGAAATATGGGGCGTGTCCGTTTGGAAAACAATGATTAAGATTGAGATTTCAACTTTTGTGAGAGAAATACATTTTTATTTCTTTTCTTTTCTTAAGTACATTTATAAATATTGTTACAAAAAATATATTTTTTTGAGGATAAAACTCCAGCAAAGGCCAATAAATCTCCCCCACGTAATTTGCATGATATAGCTCGAACAACTTTATACTTTAGTGATAAACTGTCATGCAGAAGAACAAGATCTATTATCAAAATATCTATTGTGGAGTTTTTTTTTCCAATGATGGTACATAAAGTACTGAAGCCACATCATTGCAGGACTCGGTCAAGCAGTTACAGATTTGTGTAGTATTATACGTTGGTGTGGCCTTGCCTTTACTTTTTGCACACATACGTTATTTTCTTGTTATCAAATTACATTGAGTTATACATTCTCTGGGACCAATACTATAGTTTGACTCTTTGTCTTTTTGAACTCGAATGCAAAATAATTGGGTTTCATTCCAGGCTCAGGAGCATTTCTTTTATTTTTACCATAGTGCCGAGAGGTGTGCAAGCCATGCCGATCAGTATGAGGCTACTGGCGGAAGCATGAGTCTTCAAAACAGTCAGGCCTGTTAGTAAAAGACACAAAGGGGTTATGAATGTGAAGGATTAATTATAAAAAGGAATAATGCAAAGAAAATATAGTGTGTAACTAGGATAGCTAAATACTTTTAGGAAACATTTATTAAAGAGGAAAGAAATTTGATTTTTAAAAGTATTAGGTAAGGTAGGGTGTGTGTGGCAAAGATAAGTCCTCATGAACAATTTCAATTTATGATTTTCTATCATTCTTTAGGACTGGTTCTTTGTTGTATCTCAATGTATATTGGGTATTTTCCCATAAGTGAAGTCTGTTGAT